GGGGCCCGGGGGGTTCTCGAAGCGACTTTGCGTAGGTTTGCCGGTGTCCAGGCCTCCGGGGCTTGTGAGAAATGTACGCCAACCACGTAGGTGGATTCGTGAATCTCGACTTCAGCTCTTGCTCTATAGGTTTTTTTTTTTTTTTTTAATTCTCCAAGATGGCGAATTGCCATTGATTTCTCTTCCTATGGAAATTCATCGATATACCGCTATCCCGTTTACGAAACATACCTCTTAAAAGGGGGTGATTTTAGGTGTCTTTCAATAATCAGCAAAAACTGGGAGTGGAGGGCACTTCTCTAAGTCTTTCCTTCTTTACTAATTGAAGTAAAGGAACTAAGGCAGATTTATTGCATGATTTTCTTGTGCCTTGATGCTCTTGACTTGGTTGCCACATGTTTGGGAAGTATTTGACACTGAGCTTCCAGAACTGCTTATTGTTTTGCTTGTTTCTTCTCAGGCTGTTTCTAATATGTTGAAATATGGAATATGAGACCATTTCTTTAATTTTTTAGCTTTAAGTCCCCTTACCATCAAACTCCAACATTCATGTCTTCCCCTTAGGGGTGCTACTAATTCTTCTTTTACTACCTGACATGGTTTAGAATCTCTGTTGAACTCAGTCCTTGGTACTTGAAGATCATCTGTATCTGCAGTGGACTACAATTCTCACGGAGAATTGGCATCTGATGATCAACTTTTTTTCTGCAGTCCTCCTGTCTTTGTGTGAGAATTCCCGCTGTCTGGCTAGGAAGATTGCGGGAGTGTGCTTGGAAATGGCTGGGGCCTGCTATGACTCTGCAGTTCTGATGGGGGCGACGCCTTCCTTATTCATGGAATGTTAGAATTCACGGTTTCTTCTTTCCGGCTCTGGTGGCTGAACCTCAGTTTCTTTCCCAGTCTCCCTCCATTTTCTCTCTCCTTTTACAATTGCCTACTGCAGTGCCCTGGAGATTTCGTTTTGCATTTGCCCAGAGGGAAAACTGATTACCGAGCGAGATGGGAGGAGAAGGAAAGTTGGAGACAAAAAGGCATAGTGGCTAAAAAAGTAGGAGGGAAATACGAGTTTGGAAATACGCTGAGTGAGATCTGAAGATTGAAGTTCCTATCATCAAGGATATTTCTTGTTACTCCATGAAAACAGATCTGCTAAGTACATGGTTTAATTTAGGAGACTTTGCACCAACTTTAAATTTCATGCAGCAGCGTGACTGACTATAATGTGACTATGAAAGACAAGCTGTTGAGTTTATAGCTGAATCTTTACATAAGCACCTTCAAAAGCACTGACTTGATACAGTTTATACATAACTCTTTAAGTTTGTGGTTGATCTAGTGTCAACTACCTATTTAGAGCCACAGTTGACTGTGAAAGCAGATTAATTGATCTAAAGTATGTAAATTATGTAGGATTAGATAATCCTTCGGAAAAGACTAAATCTTGATTTTTACATTATCAAAAGTTGGCTGTCTTTTAGTGGTAGTACAAACTCGATACAGTCTTGTGTTCTATCAGTCTCTGAAAGAATCAACTACAACTTACTGTTTCTTTTTCTTTTTCTTTTTTTTTGGGGGGGACAGCCAATAGAAATAGACATGATTGTAGGAAAAGACCGGGAAGGTTTCTTTACCAACGGTTTGACTCTTGGCGCAAAGAAGTGTTCAGTGATCAGAGATAGTCTATATGTTGATGGTGACTGCACAATGGACATCCGGACAAAGAGTCAAGGTGGGGAACCAACATACAATGTTGCTGTGGGCAGAGCCGGTAGAGGTAAGCAAAGTATTTTTGTGATTAAAAGTTGCATGCCATCTTACAACTTAATAATCAGTTTCTTTAACATTTTGAATAGAAGTTAGTTCATAATGGCTGTTAAGGTGGTTTTTGTGAACTGTCTAGCACTGAAGAGAAGCACTGCTTCAGATTTATCTACTTTACACAAGTTGCACATACATGCAGCATAGTGCCTTTCATCTTGACTTCATTCATAGAACATTGATATCAACTCATTTTCAGCCTTAGTTAACTAGAAAGTTGTCTCAGACTGCTTGATTTGTCAAATGATAATTCTGTGGTTTATAACATTTTTAAATTTAAATTGTTTATTTTTATCCTTCATTAGTCTTTACTTTTGGATCCCCACTTCTCTTTACTTAGGTTTTTTAAGTTCACTGCTTATCATAATGAAAACTTGATGTATTTTTCCATTGGAAATACTGCTGGAGAGGAAAGGGATAATTAGATTGTTTTGTGGTAAGCTGTCCATTTACTAAAATATTTTTAAAGACTAATATGCAGATTTGAGAAGTAGGAAACTAGTTTATACGTAGCTGGTTCAAAAGGTGTCAGCATTATGGAGATTCTTACTGCACTGAAGACCTCGGTTTTTCAAAAGAAACTTGAGACTGCAGTTTATAATGCTATTTAATTGACTTGTCAGTATATTTAAATATATTAACTTGTATAAATATTTTTTTTAAATAGACAGGGCTTCTGTAGCCTCACTTGGCAAATGGTACCTCTAATTTCAAGAACAGTTCTACCATGTGACAGGACTTGAAGCTGCAGTTTCATGCTCTGGTTTTCCCAATTCCCTGTGATTATCGTAAAGGCTACTTTTATTCTGGAGTGAGTTGATGTTTATGGATATTTATAGGAAAATTCGATGACTTCTTGAAATAGAAAAGCCCCAAATATTAGCTGTTCTGAGATAACTGTTCTAAAAAGTGCATTAACCACAGATGTAAAACCACTAAGACTTTCATGTCATAAAGCACTACTGACATCTAGTGGCAGTGAACACATCTGATCTATACCTGTACATACATTTGAGGACAGATTTTTGAATTGCATCATAAAAGAACCTGATATCAGAAATAGCCTATTTCAGGATTTTAGACTTGGCAAAGTGAAAAATATCAATATGCATTACACTTGAATACTTTTAACTTGGCCTTTTCTCAAACGCTGTTTAAATTTGATTTTCATTTTCCTTTGAAAGTAACAAGCAGATTTATAGTCTCATTGATGACTTAGTTTATACTTAACAAGCATGCTGAACGCTTGAATATGTAAATAATGGCCTGAGTTTTAAAGTATATTTCTGGGGTAAATAACACATATGTCTTATCAACTAGAATTTTGCCCCTAAAATTAAAGATAAATTGCTTTTTTTTCTCCTTGGCTAGTAGAAAGGTAATTGTACAGAACTTTGCTCCTGCATGACAATGACAGAGCTTCCAAAATGCAGTCAACAGTTAACTGTATTGTTCTTAGTATATTACTAATTTAAAAGTTCTCCATTCCGGAGACTTAACTGATTTCAGTGCTTGACAGTTCATGGAAAACTAACTTAATGTTAACTTATTGATCAGGGATCTGTCTGCTAAAACTTAAGTGACTTTCTTGATTAACACTTCTTTTGAAACACTTTTCTTCTTTCTCTTTCAGTCTTGGTCTTTGTAATGGGAAAAGAAGGGGTCCATGGAGGCGGATTGAATAAGAAGGCATACTCAATGGCAAAATACTTGAGAGACTCTGGGTTCTAGCTGCTAGGCAGACTGTTAAGTATTAGGGGAAAATTGCTCTTAAACTTTCCTAGCTGTAAGCTTAAGTCTTAATTCTGGAAACTTTATTAGCAATGCAGGGTGATGGGGTATGAACCTGTGTCTCCTTTGTATCCCTCTGTTGGTGGGGAAAGGTGTCTTTCTTTCTGCCCTCCCCTCTTAAATAATTCTGTTCACTTTTGTTTTGTTTCCTTGTGTACTCCAGCATTGGTTATAGTCATGGGAAAGGAAGGTGTCCACGGAGGCACACTTAACAAGAAAGCATATGAACTCGCTTTATACCTGAGGAGGTCTGATGTGTAAGCAGCCTCTCCCCATCTACCTAGCAACTGTCTTCATCACCACCCCAGTTCTGGTCACAGTGCTACCAGACTATAGATGGTAGCTAGTTTTCTTTACCTATTTTCTAATGTCATGATTCCTGTTTGCCCAGCGGATCATTTGTATGTTAACCACTGTATGTAACCAACCTTTATCTGGCAACATAATTGCAGCACAATAATGATTTGCATGATACCTTGAAATTAGGGGGAGGGGGCATGCCAAGTTGGGCATCATTTTGTCTTAGCAATTAATGGGATATCGATTACTAAAATAAGTTAATATTAAGCAAGGTGCCGGTTGTACAATCTCTAATTTGATCACTGTCTTTTCAGCACTTTGAGCATTTACTTGGCTCATTAGTCTTCCTTTTGTAGCGCATGGTTGGGAGGAAAAAGTGCATGCATCTTTCCTTCACTCTTTTCTCAACCCTTCCTTTGCAAACAAAGTATTTGGTTTTCTTCCATCCTCTTTTTTTTTTTTCTTTTAAATGCAGCGCCTGGTTTATTTAACCAATTAATATCCCTTTTGCTAATGAGTTATTGAGAGCTGCGTAGTATGCTTGTAGTATTGTGGTTGCACTTAAAATTCTTTCATAGATCTGTAGGACATGTGAAGAGTGCAACTACAAAACAAGAGCAAAAGGCACTTCCTCCCATGACCTTGTAGTAACCATACTGATTGAATCCCCAGGGACATTCCATCATTGCAACAGCTCAGATTTTGTTCCTGTCTTTTTTCTTTGCACACCAGCTCTATTCTTTAGTAAAATTATAATGGCTGCCATTATGGACATTAGGTATCCCAACATAACCATCTGGAGTGTGTCCAGTTTGTTCTTCATAGGACCAATTATTATTTGCAGCTTGAGTTTTTATATGAAGTTGCATTATTGTGGACTTGGCTGTCTTGTGATGAATTTTTTTTCATATGTATTCTGTGCCATACTATTGTTAAAATGAACTGTTGCTATTGTGAGATGGATTTTACTGACCTATTAAGGGTTTCTTTCGAATGGCACTACTTTTGGGACATTCTAGTATTTGCTTCTATTATTTGGGCCTTGTGGATAATGTACAGATTTAAAAACAAATCTTGTTGCTGATTTGTCCATTTCTTTCCCTGCACTTTGTTACATCTGGGATACAGTCTAACTCATCTGATTTAATATGCATTTAAAAAAATGCCATAACTATTAAACACCTTGTTTACAGACAGATGAAATAAATTTATTCCAACCAAATACTCTAGACTCCTGTTGTTTATGTAAATTGTCTGCTTACTGTTAAGTTGATTTTTGACCCAGAGGATGTAAAGAATAGGCCACAATCTGCTGTAAGCATAAAAATAAGTAACCTAGGAATTTTTTAAATAGGCTTTGATCTATTAAAAGTAGCATTTAGTTATTTTAGGCTTACCTGAGGAAAACTGACTTTACTGCTAGAAAATATTTTCCTCTGTTGGTCTCTACATGTGAAATTTCGAAATGTAGTAAGCAGTAAGAGGCCCTAATACCAAGAAGAGTTTCTGTAGTACTGTGGATTTTTAGTGTTGAACTGTCATGTGACTTTAGATTTGGAATCTGTGGTAGCAGGCTTTGGTCAGCCTGCTGGGATTCACCCATAGAAGAGCAGAAGACATTATTTAGGCAGCATTTAAGAGAATTTGGTTGCTTTTACATATTCTGGCTTTTGGAGTAACATGTTGATTGTGACTAGTTTAGTACTGGTGGTCATAAATACTTTAGTATGTAGTAATGTTTACTAAATATATAAATTTAGGTCTATTTAGGCAAATCATTATTACCATGAACTGTCAAGAAGAAACTCAGAACTAGTTACAAATTCTAGACTTGACTTCCACTCCAGAGATGGAGAGTCTATCACCAGGAAATTCCTTTTTTGGAAACAATCACTCAGTCTGGTTCATTTTAAGTGGCCTACATAACAAAAGTTGTATTCTATTTGATTGTACATACAGGATATTAAACTATTAAGATATGAGATTTGGGGGATACTTTATTTGAACATACTCTAGAAACTTAACAGTAGGAACCTGGTATCAGCTTTTTGCTCTGTTAAAAGATTTGTGTTAAGGAGAAAAGGTTGGGCAAATGAAAATTTGTTGATGAGATTATGATTTCAATTTTGCAGTAATGGATACATTCACACATTAGTTATAATTAACTATTAAGATAATAATTAAGCAATGACCAGAATGGTGAGATCTTTAAATGAACGTTGAGAGTTGAGTAGACTATAGAAGGTTTATCACCAAAATAGTGAAAGTAGTCATTAAGACACCTCCACACAAGTATAAAAGAAAAACAAATACATGGATGCATACTTTGCTTTCTAAGGATATGGAATTATACAAACTTGTATACTAGAATGTCCCATCATATAACATTACTTAAGTAATACTGGAAAACTTCTGCAGGGCTCAACTTTAAGGAAAGTGAGTTGAATACTGATTTTGTACATAAGTGAAATTAGCCTCTAAAGAATGTCATAAGAAAAGGCTCACCAATGAGTGATAGATGAGGGTAGTGTAAAGGCAATATATAATATAGCAAGATGTTTATTTCTGGGCTATTTCCAGGTGACTGTATTTTGATTTCCAGTGTTTTCAACAATGTTACTTTCATAATCAGAAAATTTGTAAATTAGGAGTTTCAACTACTGAATTTTAATTTTACTGTCCTTTTCAAAAAGCTTAATTTTGCAATGAAATCACAGATTTCAAGTGGATACTGAGAACAGATAACACTAGCCAATGCAGTTAAGATACTTCACAATTTCTTTACAACTCAAACTAATTTTTGATCAAGAAAAAATTTAAATGAATCAAATCCTTAACCTGAAATCTGGAGTAAAGGAATATAACATTTAATATATAGCTATACATGTATGTAAAGTGACTTTTCACTTTATGCCCTAGACACTGAACTCAGTGTTTTGTTTTTATATTCTTAGATTAAGTGAAATTATGCAAATTATCAAAAAAAGTTTGGGCCATAAAGTTGTGACATTTCAACTTCTGCTTAATACAATGGTAAAACTGTTGTTCTTTTTCTAATGCCTGTATTTTTATCTTAAAAATTGGGGGCAGGAGGAGGTATGAGTGTCATGCTGAATTCAACTTTTTGTTATCCAAACTGGAAATAATCGTTTTTTGCCTGACTATAAAAGTTTTTTTTACAAATTCAGAGGGTATAATTTCCTCTTTTAATGTTACCTTTTTTAATGCATTAATTTTAAAACATTTTATTAGTACGTTTGTATTATATGTTAACATTCACCTTAGGAAGTGGGTACATGTACTTCATTTTTTTTCTAAACAAAGGGTTATATACCACTTACGCTTACTGCTCTGTATCGTGATTTTACTCAGTTTTCCATGTCAGCATATGTGTTGACTGTAAAGATGTACAACAAGTTACCATAACACATTTATTTTTGGAATGATTTTGGCTACAGTCTTGACTTTGGTTTTTGTAGTTTTTTTTTCGAAGATAACCTAAATATTATGAGTAGTTATTTTGTATAAAATTAAGTTGGTGTGTGTTTATCTTAACATAATCATTACACCTTTATAGCTGTCTGCATATAAAGCTATGTGGTAATAGTACGGTAGAGCATTTACTAGTTTTTAAAATGGAAAATTTTTATTAACATTCAAACTCCCCTCATACAAGGCCATATAAAAATTCTTAGTTTGATTATACATTTCTATAATTTCTACATAGTTAAAATGGTGTATAATTTAGCTTTTCATAATACATCATTTCAATACATTAGTTCTGTTAAGCACTTATTTTCAAATCCAATACTTGAATAGTTTCTTCTGTACATAGGTTAGCAGGGCTGATTAGCATAAGATGCTCCTTATTAAGAGGTATATGATCTGAGTATTAAAAGTTGCTGAAGTTTGGTATTTTTGTGCAGCATTTTCTTTTTGCTTTGATCACAACACAAAAACCCTTAAGGATACTGAAATCTGATAAGTCCAAAGACATTATCTGTTGAATCATATTCATATGTAACACTATAGTAGTAAAACCCTTTTGAAATCTGTACTAGTTTCAGATCTTACCAGGATAAGACAGCTTGGGTAAAACCCTTTTGTAATCTGTACTAGTTTCAGATCCTACATACCATGATAAGTTGGCTTGGGAAGAGAAATGAAGACAGCTTTGAGTTTTCTATGCGGTTCTGATAGGAGGAGAAATGGTAAAATACCTTGTTGCTTCTCACCAATGAAGGCAACTTGGGAAAACATCAGAATGAATTCCAACTCATACTTAGGTGATTTTAGGGAGGTATGAGCATTGGCCTTTGCTCATGCTAGATGGCCGCGGCGCTGATTTAATGTGTGAAACAAAACATTTGCATAAGATGATCTAAGTCTTAGTCGTGAGCTATATAGAGATTTTTTAAAAAAATGTTTTGGCTATTTTCATCCTTGATGCCTGAGTTACAGCACCAGACTGTTATTACTTATTAGTAAATAAAGTATAGTCCTGAAGATAAGTACCAGATAAAAGCCTGTTTTCATAATTGATTAAATTAGAACACTAAAAAATAAGTATTTCTACAGAAATCTCTAAAAAGAGCAAAAAAATCAAATTACATACCTAAATAAATGTTTTAAAGGGAAATGAACCTATCACCTTCTGAAAGTCACACGGTATTTGCTATGTTGCAGTCCCGATCACCATTGGGCTGCAACTGGACCACAACACTGTGTTCATTCACTTCATTTTCTGCCTCACTGCTGTCAGTATCTTCATTGTCATCGTCCTCAAAGTCTGAAGATTCTGTCACGTTCTGATGTGAGTGGGACTCTGACAAAGCCCCAAACGACTGGGCACTGACAGAGGCCAAAGGTCTAAGCAAAGGGGTGTGTTCTGACACTTCGTTTTCTTCTTGACTACTGTCTGTGTCAGAGTCGGAATCACCTTGAGAAGGAACAACTTTCTGCTTGCAGACTGGACAGGTTTTCTTGGTTTTAGTTAGCCAGGGGTCTACACACTTGCAGTGATAAGCTGTTGAAGTAAAGTATACATCTTCAGTTAGTAAACTATTGACATTATATTTAATCTCGTATTTATCAGTGCTGTGATCTGTATAAATCATGTAGGGACAAGAGAAGGGTTTGTACATATTTATAAATACACCTCTACCCTTTAATGAGACTACTAATTAGCACAGAGCCTAGCTTATGGTGCGCTAATGACTATTTTCTCTCTTCCCTTGTAATACTGAACTTAAATATAAATTAGTATATTTGTAAATTCAAAGCAGTATGTAATTACTCATACCATGGGAACAGGGAAGGATTCTGAGTTTGTCTCCATCTTCATATTCATCCAAACAAATGGCACATACATCATACTCATCTCCTATAACAAACACAAATAAAAATAATGAAATCTGTAAAAAAGGTTTTCAACTTGCCAAGTATTTTAAGTTTACATTTCCTCAGTTATTTTAAATCTCTTGATTATCTTTAAATGCTGCCTTTTGTTTTCTCTTGGATTTCAGTGAGTTATGTAACAGTTTAAATTCAAGGACCTGAAGTTTAACCGTTTATCTAAAGCACTTAAAAACAGGTGTCAGATTTTTACCGTGATTAACTTTGCAAACTTTTAATAATCATAATTTTGTTCATGTTTTACATAATTGTACTTAAATGTTAGTTTTGAAAATTTTACCACTTAAATTTTTCAAAGCATCTATCTGGGTCATTTTTATTTATTTTAATGTATTCATTTAATTTATTCATTAGTATTATTTTGTCATGCTGGGGATGATCCAGCATGGGATAACCAGGGTTTCCTTCATGCCAGGCAAAAGCATTACTACTTAGCTACACCCCCAGCTCTGGGTAATTTCTTTCAAATAAAGAAACATGTTAGATCATATTCAAATGTTTTTAATATATTAATGAATTAAAAAAATTTGAACTGAGACACATTGGTCTTCAGGTGTTCTGTGGTACTTGGCAAGTTACTGTGATGACCATACAGGGTTCTAAGGAATACAAAGGGCGGGGCACACAGGTACAGTAGTCAGTAAATAATGTTTATTACTAATATCTTTGCAATTTTAATTGTCTTAATGGATTTACTCCCTTTATAACCATAGAGGCTTATTATTAACTTAGTTCTTTTTGGAATTATAAGTTTTTAAAGGACATGACAGTTTTAAGTACAGTAGTTCTTTCACTTAACAGTGGCTTAGATACTTCGTGACTGCTTTCAATTAAGTCTTCTTCATTAAATCAGTGTTAGGTAAAAACTTAGAAAAATCCCAAGGAACAAAAGTGCGTTAAATTCATTGCCAGTCCCACCCCGATGGGTAACCTAGGAATATGTCAGAAATAAAGCCATTGTGTGGATAGATACATAAGACAGGAGTGGTTGTTCTTTTGAAATAATCCCTTTAATGAATGCTAGTCATTTTAAATACATTCAGGAAGAGTCCTAAATAGAAAACTTTAATAACAATTATCAATTTTTGTTCAGCATCTTGGGTTACACAGTATCACTCATCAAATACATGCAGTAAACAAAATACATACATATGTTAGGATCTTTTGTGGAAAGTGGTACAGCTGAGCCGACTGCTGGAATACTAAAGGACTTAAATGTATCTACCATGATCTGTGATTACACAGATGGTTCATTTGAGACGTTGGGGACAGACAGCTCTAATAAATCATGATTGATGTTCTCATAAATCGAACTTTCATTTGTAACTTTGTAAAAATGTCTACTAAAAACAGATGGTTAATATGATAAAGATGGGGAGATTAGCCTGGATTACACACATGGGCCCAAGAGTAGTCACAGGGTCTTTAAAAATGGAAGTAAGAGTTCATCGTCGGAGGTGAGTGGATGAATGGTCAGGGAGATGCAGTGGTATTGGCATCAGAAGGAAGTCACAAACCAGGGGGTGGAGGTTGCCTCGAAAAGCTGGAAAAGGTAAGGAAACAGATTCTCCGAGAGCCTCCAGAAAGTAATATAACCCTGGCAACACCTTGAATTTTGTCTTCTGAGACCTGTGTCAGGCTTCCAAACTGTGCAGAAACAGTAAATTTGTCCTTCTGAAGGCACTGAATTTGTGATAATTTGGTACTAAAGAAAATAGGAAATTATAAATAATACTTGCCTGGCTTATCTTTAAATGTGTGTAATTGAGGCTTTAGAGTCATTGAGTTTATATCTATCTTTTGATTTATTCCAAGTAATGGATTTATACTGATCTCATAATTCTTGCCACAGTATTCACTTTGAAGAAGACAAATCAAAATTCAAAGACACAGTATGTGATCATGGCCTAGGCCAAAGACTATTGCTCTATAGAAAATTAACCCCCATGGCCTTGGGCTAGTGATAAAATGGTAAAGTACATGTTAGGGAGTTCTTGGGGTTCACTGGTATAACCACTATGGAAAACAGTACAGGGAGTCTTCAAAACATCAAAAACAAATTCCATTTGACCCAGCTATTCCCCTTCCAGGTACAGTATATGCCCAAAGACATACTACAGTAATACATGCACACCCATGTTTATAGCAGCAAAATTCATAATAGCTAAATCTTGGAAGCAACCTATGTATCCACCAGATAAATGGCTAAAGGAATTCATGCACAACAGAGTCTACCATAAAAAAGGATAAATTTGAGTCACTGTAGGAAAATGCATGCACCTCGCAACCATAATTTTCAGTAAATCAAGCTTAAATATTGTATGGCTTTTTTATATGAGAAATCCAATGTATATATATAATGCAAAATAAAAGTGGGAAAAAAGCAAACAGTTACTGTGATCCAGTATGGCCAGTGTATCTAAAAGTGTACTTTGCTTTATTGTAATTGTCTTATATGTTTGTTAATTTGTTTTGTGTGTGGCTTGTTAGTCTAGCTGTTAATGTGTGTTTATGATAATTAACTTGAGGACTTGCAAAAGTAATTTTTTAAAAGCAGATTGGAAGGGGGAGAAAAGAATTCAGATGTGCTATGTACACATATATCCCCACAATGTAATCATGTACTATAAACATGTACTAATAAAAATTTTAAAATAAAAAATGCTTAGGGTTCATGTCTTGTTTCTTTAATTACCTATGTAACCTTTCAGAGGATTTTTTCCTAGAGGGAAAGCAAAAATGTTGACATACCTATATTTTACAGGTGTGAGGATGAAAAGAGATACTGCAAAAGTATACTATGCAGTGTTTGGCACATAGAGTATCTTTTAACCAGTTTCCACCTGGTAAAACCAGTCTGACAGGTATACTGGCTTATAACATGGTATAGTGAAGGCTGTGGTATTTCTAATATCCCACTTCCCTCCTGTCCAGCAGACGAAATGGTTTACTATCTACTAGAGGCAGTCTTTATAGAACTTTCTGTTGTACTTAGGGAAGTTATGTACTTAAGTTAAATATTCAGCAGCCTTTGAACTGTGAGTGTAAAAGAGGGGTTAGCTTGTTTTTAAAGCTAGGCTTGAATGCATTAGAAACACTAAAGTCAGTTGCTCCCCCAATAACTCACTTCTAGCCAAAATACGATTAAATTAGGTATGACTGAGGAAATTAGATTGGACAAACACTTCAATAAAAAACAAGAATGACAGCAAAATTCAGTTTTTGTCCCACTTTGAAGTACCTGAAACTAAAAATGGTAAAAAATGAATCACACATTGTAACAAGTTGGATATTCAATGGATACTCAAAGGCTGTGGTCTAGCATCAGATGATTATTGAGTAATTATGTTTAACTTAAAATTTAAAGCATTTATGTATTTTCATTTATAACCTTAGGTTTTTGAAATTAATTTCCTACTTACTCTGCTAATACAAAGGGCTCTAACTAATACATAAAAATAGTTTTACGAATAGCACTATGCTAAAAAGTTCTGTTGATTAGTGGTTCTCAAATAAATAGAAATGATTTTGTCACCCAAGGATATCTGGTGATATCTAAAGACATTTTTGTTTTTCACAACTGGGAGGTCATGTTCCTGGCATGTAGTGGGCCAGGGATGCTGCTAAACCCTATACTCCACAAGCCCCCACAAAAGAATTATCCATTCTAAATGTCAATAGCACTGAGTTTAGAAACCTCTTGGCTAACCAGACTTTGCTAAATTCATTGGTGGATATGATGGGTACAAGTTGAGGGAGGAGGGAGATCCATGTCTGCTATGTGAAGCAATGTGGAAATATTTTGTGGAATATATCGGCATTATTACTAATAAAGTTTTAGAATAATTTCCAGAAGGTACTTTTTTAAAGTCTCGTGAAAACGTTATAATTATGACAGGTAGCTGGGACAGAACTTTAAATTTCTCCTGTTTTCACCCCATACATTTCAAGCCTTAAAACCTAGCTTATCAGTTATAGCAAAAGCACAGGCCCATCATATCAGGAGTCACACAAGGCCCTAGGTAGCCACAGTAGTGGCATAAAGTGAGTATCAAGCCTAGGCTTATTTTTGCTTGCTTTTTGGTTGTTGTTTTTTGTCTTTTGGTACTGGGGATCGAACTCGGGTCCTTGCACTTGTGAGGCAGGCTACCGAAACGCTGAGCTAAATCCCCGGCATGCCTAGACTTATTTTTGATGCCTCTTTAGCATCTATGTTCAGTTTCCCAAGTCCTCTAAATATTTTCTGCAAAATATGTCCTGAATTTGTTTGCTCAGTTACTCTGGTTCCTATCTGGATTACTGTACGGGCCTTTTCTCTAGTCTCTCTTCTATTCCTATTCTATTTTTCTCATGTAGCCAGAATAATCTTGAAAGTGTTTATCACATCATGTCATTCTTATTTAAATGGCTCCCCATCTAAGAATAAAATCTGAAATTATGCTCATACCTATGATGTGAACCTCCTCTCTCACCTCCTCTCTTACCAGTCTACTTTTGCCCATCTTTAAAAACATATGAAAATAATTTAGGTGTAGGCTTGCATTTGGTCAAGCTGTAATAACATTTGAACACAAAATTATAGAAAGAGGAATAATTTCTAAAGACTTTAAAAGGTAATCTAAAATAATGTCAGTGCACACAAAACTGATGCAGAACTTGTTCACTTTTACAACAAACTAGTCCAAGCATTAAGTCAACCAAGAATAGGTTTCCTCAAAAGACAAAATAGATTGAACATTCAGAACTAAATACATAGATTTCACAAGGAACATATATGCCCAGGATGGAGTATTATTAGATTTAATAAACTTCAAAGCATACATTATTGTCCTTGTTGAGAAAGTGCCTTACCACTTATTCACTGAATCTGCCAGTGGGAAAAGCAATAGCAGTATTTTCAAGCAAATAAAAGTAAATGAGTATTATCCATCCCCCCACCCACACTGGTTCTCACGAAATACGAATAAA